AAATTGAGTTTATTAAAACCGGTAACAATAAACCTAAATTTAGAACAGAAAGGAAAGTCTAGTGTCAAAAATAATAAAGATAGTGATTGATATTTTTTCAAGTACTCGTAATTTTTATTAACCAATCTTTTGGCAAACATAAATATCGCTACAAATAAATTCTTATTGCGAAGCAATGGCTCTTCGAGCCTAGAATCAACTCTAAACTATTGCTTTGCAAGCCGTATTGTGGAACAATGGCACTTGCGTGCCTAGGCAATTCTCTGAATCATGACCCTTCAATCTATAATTCTGCTACAACCCAGGCCCAAAGGGGCCAATCTTTAGATTCATATAAATCAATCCCATTCTTATCATATATATCACCCGCAAAATACGACGATTATCTCTTAAAAAGATGGTTCGAGATGAAATCGATCAAATAATGATTAAATTTGCAAAATAAATATTTACTGCGCCAGTATCATGTGATGTTGTGAACTCAGTTCACATTCTATACACCTATAATAAAATTTTATCATATCAGTATAGCCCATTTTTGGTAAATGAATTAAAATTTGATACATGGCTTTTACTTTTACCAAATAATTACAATTTTCTCATTATCGTTATATGTACATAATTTGGTTGTAAGATGGGGCACAAGTATAAGGTGCTGATTTGTATGGTAGAGCCAATGTCTAAGCATAATAAAAAATTTTTTAGCCACGTATAATTATTTTTCTATTAATACGACAATGATAAAAAATCATAACAATACATATACAAATAAAAAAAGACAAAATCACTTTGAAAAGTGGTATATCTTTAGAAGATGGAAGCGCAGGTGTAAGGTTTGTATGAATGTGATCATCATTCACACCTATATTGTAAGACATGCAAAAAAGTAGCCGATGGAATATATAGATGATGTGAATGAAATCAGAATTGGCGATTTTGGTAGCCCAGATTAATATAATTATCTATATGAACAGAATAAAATGAAGTGAATTAGCAGATGATAATAACCGATGCTGAATAGGCAAAGCTTGGGTCTATGACCCAATCGACTAATAAAGAATCTTCGCCAATTCACTTTATTTCATTGTCGAGATAAACATGTAATTCAAGCAGGAAAAAATAATGATATTTATCTGGACATGAATTTGTGAATAGACAGGCGGATAAGTGTGTATATATAAATCAATAAAGGTGACCTGGTGGCTGATTTCGCATACATAATTGGATTTGCTTTTGCATATATGTTTCAAGGATTTGATATAGATTAAACTAACATGATTGTTTATATTAGTTCGAAAATTAAATAACTTATCTTTTATTACTAAAAATGCAATCTAAATTAGATTTATTAGAAGAGAGGGCTAAGGAAGTCACACTAACTAAGCTTAAGGCTAAGAATGCAAAACTTATGGTCAAAAAAGCTAATCTTGAGGCTAAAAATGCAGAATATATAAAGCTTAAGGATGAGACTGCAAAGCTTAAGACCGAGAATACTAAACTTTTAAACCAAATTATAGAAAAATATGTTAAAAATAAGGCTGATATAGTAAAATTAAAAACTGGTTTGCGGTATCCAATCCTCTTTGAGCATATTAAGATGACAATTCTTGAGCTTGAAGCAAAGAATGCAATATTAAGACCAATTATAGAAGAATTTGCGAAGAAATCGAAATATAGCCATCTCGTAACTGTCTTTGACAAGAAAAATCGCAAATTCCAAGCTAAATGTATTTAAATAGCTGTGGACATTCTTAACGAAAAACTAATAATTGAATATTGTTCTCCTTTCTTGAACAGATTGGAACTTGACGCTTTCTTTCAAAAATATCAAATTGCATTGGAGGTGCAAGGAAATCAACATCGGCTTTATAGCACTAGCTAGCAGTGTTGTATGTTTTGACTGTCCAAAGGCTTTTTGGTACTGTCCAACGTCCAAGTGTCCAAGTGTCCACAAGTGTCCAGAGCATATTCAAGCTTTAATAATTAATAAATTTGTTTAAAAAATATATAATTATATATTTTTTTATATGCTGAACATATTTTACTTAGAAATTAATATAGGTTATCTTAATAAAATTTTGAGTAATTTTAATTTATTTAATTGTTCAAAATTGTCCAAAGTGTCCAAACTTACTGTCCACAACTGTCCCGTGACAACACTGGTCTTAACTATAACAGATAATTACATAGTTTGGGCTATCCCAAACAGTTTGGGCGGCAACTATGTATAACTTTCTGACGATGGTCTTTTTACCTACTTTTGCATCATTACGTATTAATTCAAGCAAGATATTCCAAATAATTTTTAAATACTCCGTTACCTAATAATTTCATTTAAATAGAAGCATGTCAATCAAAGTCAATAAATGATCTAAAATCATACAATTATATTTTTTCGAAGATCATAGGTGCGCTGTCTAACAATAGGATTAACTTTGATTGCTGCAATATCAACTAAATTTCTACCGTATTGATCGAGTACTTGTTTGGCAGTTACCGTTGGATTCTTATATACCGATTTTGTGAAGCTTTTAATATTATCTCACCATGCCATAGTGGTTACAGAAAAAAATTTGTTGATTCCAGTGTTCGGTTGACAAAAGCGTGCATCCAGTCTAAAATTTTCTGTTTTATTCACCTGCTCTTTGCAAAAAGGATGTTTAATTAGTTAACAGAATAAATAGATCCGCATAACTAATTTTCTTATTAGTTCCCGTCCAGATTAGGTTAATCTATCGCAACCATGCAGTTGAGCACATGACGTTCGTGTTAAACGATCAGGTAGAGTGGTAGCCTTCTACCACACCAACCGACCTCCCAAAAGTTGACTCTTTCCGCAACCTCTTCTTTTACACATGTGCTGAACATGGAAGATTTGCACGTAAACCCTGGAGCATTACAATATAGCATCCAATCTGCCCGAAGGCATCAAGTTGTCCGACCAAGTAGACCATCTTCGTGTTGAACTGCCAGGTAACGCCTGGCGGTGCTCTGCAACAAAAAGAGGCGCGTGGATTCATAAAGAGAAATCAATGATAAATACTTATCTTAGGAAACGGGATTTAAATTTTTTGTTTACAATAGAACGCGTTTTAGACGAGTTCGCCAGAGAACAATAAAGCTGCAGAAGCTAGACGATTCAGCAATTTTCTAATAAATTATGCTATAGTTATCATGTGTCCCATACTTTTGGGGTCAATTTGGTAAACTCTTTTAGACAACTGACTGTTAAATAGCCAAACATAGAAGATGGTTGAATGATTGTCATAAGTTAATCAACTGATCAAATCGTTAAAATTTTTTTTAAAAAAAAACCATGTATTACACAAATAATACAGTAATAGATTATACTGTAGCTTGAAATTTTGTACGTATTTATTTTTTTTTCAAGTTCCAAAAATAGGTATAACTTTTACTATTATGTGGCACGAATTTTAAGTGGTATAAGAATTTTCATATTTATCCAACGAGATCTTAGTTTCAAAGATTATGCAATAGTTTTTTAATTTCATGTGAACATAAAACTTTTATTAGTGACAATGCTGAAAAAAGCACAATGCACAATACGGCAGTATATATCAAAGATCTTAAAAGAGTACAAGAATAGTTTCGGTGTTGTAATATACAAAGTTTCGTGCTTATATTCAAAAAGACCTTATTTTTAATGATTCCAAATAGGCTTGACTTCTACTACCGTACTAGCGATTTGTGGTTGGATATTCTTTAATTGGTTCTTGATTCAATCGCCTGTATAACTTAATTACACTAAGTTAATTTCCAAGTAAATCAGCGTAGATGTAATATAGATCAAATGCGTATGAGCGATATTGTTTACTATGAGCTAAAGGTTGTAATTCGTCTCTAGTAGAAACGGTGATTAGGATAACAGTCAGGGAATATATTACATCTGTTAATATATGATAAAAAAAATTCGGTTATTGAACTATAATTATATATATATAAATTTTACACTAGACAAGTTTACTTAGAATGTAAAAAAGGATATTTTAATAAAATTTACTATATATAAATATTACTAAAACAATTTGGTTTAGCATGTAATTTTATATACCTTGTATCTTGTTAAGTGTATCTTCTTAAATTTATTTTCTTAAACTTTTTACAAAATAAAAAAAATTTTAAAAAATGTTTTAAAAAATAAAATTTGACAAAACACAAAATATATAAAATTTTATACTAAACAGTTACTTAAGAGTTAAACCAAAGAATTTTTATAGTAAAAATTTTATATAAATAAACTAAAAATTATAATATTTGTATATAGCAAGTATTTGCTTTATTAAAATAACTAATTTTTATCTTTTGAATAATAACTTTATTAAATTATACTAGTAGTATTCAACATCATAGTTGTTATACTCAAAAACTAGCAAATAATCAATATTGAATATAGTAAGCAAAATGTTTAACATCTCTAAAAACCTTCTTTTAACTACAATTTAGATCTATATTTTTACTATAGTTAAAGTTTTCTAATTTTAAATTTACTAGCAAAACTATATATAGTATTAAATATTATTGGTATAATTTAATATTATTGTTATTTTTTTAATTAAAAATTATTTATAAAATTTTATTAAAAAAATAAAAAAATATAATTTTTACAAAATTTTAAAAAGAATTAATATATATAATTTAAATTAGTAACAACTAAATTTTGGTTTTTTGTTTTAGATATTAGATACTTCTAGTTATTTAAAAAAAATTATAAGGCTATATAAAGATACTTATAGCAAAAGCATAAAATAGAATTATATATTATATAATTTTATTCTTTGTTTTTGCTATAGGTATTCTTATATATAAATTAAATAAAATATTATTTATAAATATTTAATTAAGGAGTTTTCTTGGCTTCACACTCCTGCATTATAGATATGCATCACTTGACCAATTAAATTTGAAGATTATATATAATACACAAATTAATTTTATATAACAAAATGAGATATTTTGTAATATCTCAAAATTTTGTTTATGAAACCATCTTTCATGTTTTAACAAAAAATCCTTTGCAAAATTTTGGTATATATTAACTCTACTCTATCCTAACCCTAATCTTAGTTTTTCTAATCTCAATCTAATTAATTTTTTATACAAAATTGTTTTAATATGGATTACAAATTATATATTTTATATATATACGATGAATTAGCACATCGCAGTATATAGTATATAAATTTATTCTTTAATTAATTATTGAATAATTATAGTTAAATTTTATAATTATTTCTTTATAATTATAAAAAGCAAATCTATTTATAACTAGTAGTAATAGTTCTAAGCCAATCAGATTGCAAGATTAGATATAACAAGAAATTTAAAAATTACAAATTGTAATAACTCAAAATTATATTTATAAAACTACTATTTTTTGAGATATTTTAATATAATAAATTTACTTTTAGGGTTTAGATCCTATAGCTTACTAGTTAAACTTCCAAATTCTCATAGTCAAGGTTTATAGTTCAAGTTAGGCTAGAGACAAAAAATACTTTGTAACCAAAAAGAAGCTTTTATTGTAAAGCAGAAATCATATTAGTCACCTGATATATTATATGTATATTTTTTAATATGGGGTCAAATGATCGATGCACCTAAATTTTATATATATAATTTAGGCAAATTTTGTTTATTAAGTATATTTAAGAATAAAGAAGCCATCAGTTTAATTTCTGAGCAGCATTTTGTCAATTCTCTTGCATTCAAAGAATCATCTTATGAAATTTGAAGGGTAGTTAAAAATAAGATAAAGAAATATCATTGTTGTGAAGTTGACCAATTTTTTACAATTTTTTGGTATTTGTTTATATATAATAATAAGTGATGTATATTATTTATCCAAAATAGGGGGTCATCTAAAGCGAAGATAAATCACGTAATCAACCGCCAATCAAATTATGATTGCTGGTGAAGAAATAAAAACAAAAAACCTAAAAAATACAAAAACGGCAGTCTAAACCTATCTCGGATAAGTTAATCAAAAATATTGAGAAGGCAATTTTGTATATATATGTTGTGCCTCAGATGGATCTTTGCGTCAAATTGTAGCTGACACATGTTAGATGACTACCAGATAACCAGTATTAAATGATCTGCAACAATTGGCCTAAATTATCTTGTGATTTTCACCCTAACCTAATCTTAACTTAGGCCAGATATCATCTGACGCAAGGATGCATCTGAGACACAACATATATAACTATCTAAAATCTATCCTAACCTTATCCTAAAGCGACCCTAACTATAAATTTTATTAGCAGTCGATTATGTGATTTATCTCTGCTTTAGATGTTCCCCAAAATAGACAATTTGAAAATATCAATTATATATATTACAAATTTGAAAAAAGAAATTTTTAGAAAGAGATCAATTGTGGAGTATAGATACTATCCCTTAGATTGTAACACAGGCAAATTTGCCTGCATATTTTAAAATTTTTAATAAAATTTTAAATATTGAT